TATATATATATATATATATATATATATATATATATATATGTATATATATAATAGTATATGCAGCTTGAGGCCTTAAAAAGGTGTCTTTTCCCGCTCTTCTCAGGAGGGCAAATCATAGACGGTTTCGTGCTGCTTTGCCTGTGCAGCAAGAGATGCTTACAAAGCAAAAACAAGGAGAGAGAGAGAGAGACAGAGAGAGAGAGCATTCAAGAAATATATACAGTGCGCACTGATGCGGGCAGCTGCGGCAACACCCGAGCAGCCTCTGCGGTGTACGCACAGCTCAAGCAGAGGCGTCCAGGAAGCGGAGCGACACCTAAAAACAATTGCCATAGTCCCAAAGCCAATCAAAAAGAGGCAGCGTACAACAAAACCCCGAGCTTTGAAACCCTGAGACCCGGCGAGATCCTATATGCATGCATGCATGCATGCATGAATGCATGCATACTTGCATGCATGCATGCACGCATGCATGCATGCATGCAAGGACTGCGAAGGGTTTGTGGGGCCCCGCGAGAAAAGTCAGTCGGAAATACACAAAGACCATACGGCAGACTCGCACCTGCATTGCGGCGAAATGCCAGGCCTAGGATGGTCATTGAAGGAAATGCTAGCTAGCTAGGTATCTAGCTAGCTAGCTAGCTAGCTAGCTAGCTAGCTACCTAGCTAAGTAGCAATGCAGCAGACGGGAGCCTGGCTAGCTAGCTAGCTAGAAGGCAACTACAGGAGCTGCTGCTGCTGCACAAGCAACGGTGGTGTTGTAGGGAGAGAAACCGCAGCTACCGAGAATAAAGAATATATAAATCAAGAAACTAGTTAATTAAAGGATGACCCTCTACTGACAAGTGCTACTGCATGCATGCAGTGGTGAATCCCTCTTCCGTTGGGACAGGCTAACGGTACAGGTGTAGAGGCGGGCTTCCCCTGCACATGTCCGGGATGCGTATGGCGTCCGCTGCTGCTGCTGCTGCTGCTGCTGCTGCTGCTGCTGCTGCTGTTGCTGCTGCTACAGCAGCAGCAGCGTCGGATGCTGCTGCAGCTAGCTGGACCGCTGTCAAGAGCAGAGCGCGTCAGGGGCGAAGCACCCCTCGCTCGTGCTGTTGTCAGCGATCTGTTCCTAGCAGCGCAAGGAGACAGACTAGGGCTAGAGAAGGGTCTCCAGTTGGCCTTTTCCCCAATATATCGGCTTGAAAAGGCACGGTGCCGCTGCCGCTGCTGCTGCTGCTGCTGCTGTTGCTGCTGTTGCTGCTGCTGCTGCTGCTGCTGCAGTGCATGCAAAGAGGAAGAACGGCTGTAAGGAAGGAAATGCTGACAAGACATAGACAGCCCTGCTGCTGCGCCAGAAGAAGCAGGACCTTCCTCTCCTGCTGTTGCTACTGCGGATGCTGCTGCTGTTGCTGCAGCTGTTGCTGTTGCTGCGGCTGCTGCGCTGCTGCTCGCCCCCGCTGAGCGGTACAGGCTCAGCACGTCTGAGGCTGCCCTTGCAGCAGCTTTGCTGGCCGCCGCAGCAGCAGCTGCTGCTGCTTCCTCATGCTGCTGCCTCCACCATGAGGCTGCAGCGGCACGGCAGCAACCGGGGGGGTGCGGCTGTCCCCCCACCGCAGCAGCAGTCCTTGCTGCTGCTGCTGCTGCTGCTGCTGCTGCCCTGTCTACAGGCCAGCACACTGTTGAGTACCTGCGGCGCTGCATATACGAACTAGGCCGGTGGCGACCATATACACCAGGGCTGCTGCTTCTCGGGTAGCTCAGCGCTTTGTTGCTGCTGCTGCTGCAGTAGTTTAGGCAGTTGCTGCAGCAGCTGCTACCGCTGTAAATGCAGCAGCTTGTGTGCTGCGAAGAACCTAAACTACGGCTCCACCGAAGCAGCCCACGGTCGCTATCCAATCGCGAGCAGCTGCGGGTAGCAGCACCATGGCGGCATGGTGGTGCTGCTGCTGTTCCTGCTGTTGAGTCAGGCAGCAGGCCGCATGCATCTGCTGCTGCAGTTGCTGCTGCTGTGCGGAATGAACGATCACATAAAGAAGCAGATCTGCTAAATGGAAAAGAATTTTTGCGATGAAAGGAATCATTTGGGCGCAGTTGGTGTTGTTGCTGCAGCTGCTGATGCTGCTGCTGCTGCTGCTGCTGTTCTGTCTGCTGCAGTTGCTGCTGTTGATGCTGCCAAGGAGTCAGCTGCCCCTGCAGCTGCAGCTGCCAGTGCTGCCGCGAAAGCTCTGGAGCGCGTGCAAGGCTTCCTTGGGACCTGCAGCGAATCCCGTGAGAAGCAGAAACTGCGTGCTGCTGCTGTTGCTGCTGCTGCTGCGGCAACCCATCTTGCGGCAGCATGTGCGCCAGGGCCTGCTGCTGCAGCTCTTGCTGCGGCTGCATGGGGGGTTGTGTGTGTCTTTTTACCCTTCGCCTTTGCGCGGCGAATCCAGGGCCTTGGGCCCTCTGGAGCTGCTGCTGCTGCTGTTGCTGCTGTTGCAGCTGCTGCTGCTGCGGCTGGCCGCGCAGCTTCGAGGAGGCCCCTTTAAGACCACCCATCTCATCGAAGTAAACAAAGCCCAGAGCTGCAGCAGCAGCAGAACAAGGCTTTGGCATGCTCTCTGCTGCATGCAAGCCTGATGTTTCTCCATAGCTCTTACCCCTGGTACCAGAGCCACAGGGGGAGGCAGAAAGAAAAGAAGGTCCAGAAGAAAGCAGAGGCCCCTCAGCCGAGCGGCAACTCCTGAGGGCTGCAGCGCGGGCTGCGGCGTCCGCTGCAGCAGCAGCAGCAGCTGCTGCTGCTGCTAGGTTGTTGCAGCTGGCCGTCGCAGGCGGAGGCAAGTCAAGCAGCGGCATCAGCCCCGGATCAGGAGGAGGGCAGGCAACCAGCAGCTCCTGCTGCTGCTGCACATGCTTGCGAGCAGCAGCGGCATTCGGAGACTCGACGGTGTCGTGTCTCCTTGGAGACAAAGATACACTGCCAGATCCGCTACTGGTGTAGCTGCTGCTGCTGCTGCTGCTGGTGGTAGTGTACTTGGGGCTGCTGGCGCCGCTGCTTTCTGATGCCCCACTCTCGGGGGCCTCCTCCTCCTCCCCCTCATCTTGTTCTTGGTGCTGCCTCTGCGGCTGCTGCTTCTGCAGGGCCGTGGACTTCTGCCGCCGCTTGGTGGGCACCCTGTTACAGATGAGGTCCAGCATAGACATGTCTGGGTTGTCGTCGTTGAGCAGCCAAATGACGGAGAAGAAGCGTTCGGCCACGTAGAACATGTTTTCGGATGTCTGTAAAAATGAAGACCTTAACTTGAAATAAAAATGGCGATTGAGTCAGTTTCCTTTCAGGAACTGCTCCATCCGGGCCCCTCTACGCACTCTTTGACTATTCTTGGGCGACCAACCGACAGCCGAAACCCCCAAGCGAGCATTTATTATGTACGTAACGAGCATTTATGTACGTCTACCGCTGCGAAGACAGACAAAGCAGGCGCCTTTGATGTAAGAATGAGGCGCTGCCAGAGTTCGTGTTTTCTTCGGTTGCTGCGAGCTGCTGCAACACCATTACCCGTGGGAGAGTGCATGATGGAGCCGAGGAAGGGGCCCAAGGAAAAGGCCCCTATCGTTGGTATACAAGCCCCCAGATGCTTCGGCGGAATACACAATACAGCAGCAACCAAAAACAACAACAAAAAAACCATCGACCAAGACCGCAAACACCAACGACAGCCCGAGAGGTGACGGATGGTGGGTAGCCGCCTCCCCGATTCAAACCGGGTCGGGGTGTACAGCAACGGCGGTGCCTAGACAGGGCTGATCCTTGCATAAATGGGGCTTACCTGCATAGCTTCGTCGTTGCATAGGGAAAAATAATGCACATAAATTTAAAATTTTTGAAAGAAAAAGCAAAATTCCACCGCCAACGTGACAGATCGCCGATGGAGGCAGTGTGCAGACTTCCGAAACGGAAGAGGAAACGCCGCACATCGTTCTGCTCTTCGCCGCTTTACTTAGCCTCACGAGACGAAACTTGTTGTTAAATTGATGAATTATTCCATATATATTGTATTTCGATGCAAAAAACGGGTAAAAAAGGCGTCTCCTTACCCAATTCAGATCAGTTTCTGTACACGCAGGCTCTGGTGTGGTGGTTGCTCGGCTGGGCTGCTGTTGCAGCAAGGAACATGCCAACCCAAACCGATTCCTGTGCACCAACCCTTTTCTAGAAAATATACAATAATTCATTTACGAGCATCATGAACTTTCTCATGTCCGCAGCCCGTGAGCTGTGTCTACTGCGTGGGGTTGCCATCGCATTGCGATGGGGTGCGGAACCTATAGAGAACTAAAAGACTATCAATAGCATGCTGGTACAGCTACAGCTCCCAAATCTGGGTCTCTGCTCTTTATACACCTGGAGCAACACATGGTGTGGTGACAATAGTACTTGGATGAAGCAAGTGCAGCGAGAGAGCCTCTTCTTATCAGAGGATCCCTGTGAGCTGCAGTAGCTGCAGAAGACTAAAGATAATATTTCCCAAACGGGAGCTGATCTCTACGTTATGTTCCGTCATCCAGGGCGAATCGGCAAGAGGCCTGGACTGCTGCTTAGGGGAGGAGGCGTACAATCACAACGGGCCTTAGTTCAACTCCTGCTACAAGGAGGGCCCAAATGCATGTATACCCAACCCCGTGTTCATGCATGCACTGACACTATAGAATATGTTTCAACACTTAGTTGGCCCTCAGTAGCCAGGATGCAGGCAAGTAAACGTTCACTGCCAGCAGCGTATGCCCAGGAACTAACTGCCTACACCAGCAGCAGTAGCCAAAGGACTAGCAGTGGCGACACGCGCCTCCATTACTACTGAAACAGAGGAAACCCAACCATCCACGGAAGCAGAACCGCAACACTAGTGCCTGCATATTAGTTTGTTTTTATTTTCGACGGCGGTGGGCGCAGAGCTGCAGCAACCGCTGCTGCCAACGGAGGAACAAAAGCTGATTCTGCTGTCTAAGACTGAAAAAATCCGCATGTTTAACACACATGTGTGGATGCCGAAGCTTCTGTTGCTGCAGGAGGATCTGCAGCTGCTGTTGCTGTTGCTCTTGTTGTTGCAGCTCCTGTTGACCGCATGGTGTTGTAATCCCGAGTCTGCCACTGGTTTGAATTCCGTGGTACCGGATTGATATCCGAGTTATTAAGTGAGCATCTCAACCGAAATAAAAGTATAGACTAAGCCGCAGCAGGCGCACACTGAACGCGTGTAGGCGGGGGGTGGTGAGCCACCCAGCCAAAAAATAGTAAAAAATGCAGGGGTTGCCAGGAGCGCCGTCGAGAGTGTTATATCTAGAGGAAAGAACACTGAGCAAAGCATAAATATAATTGGCGTCGAGCAACAGGTATATAGAAAAGTCTGAGCCCCTCTTCAGACGAGTTCCTCCGTGGCCCCCGCATCACGGTGCACGTCCAGCCTGCACGATCAGCAAAAGCATACAAATTTTTCATGTATGTTTTCGCTCTGAAGAGACGTTCAGCTGGGTGGGATACGGGTACTGGGCTTGTTCCTATGCGTAGCTGTGCGTAACCTGTGGCTGCCTGTATCCTAGAGGCAGATCCTCGTCAACCACCCGAATGCGGGAAGAGGAAATTTGCCGAAGTTTTGGCGTGTGTGTGCAACATGCCTTCACAAATATTTAATACTGAGCCCCAGGCAGTCCAGATGTGGGGGTAAGGCTGGTTGCTTGCTCGGCTTACCCCGATGAACCATGCGGTGCCATCAATTGTTACAAGAGTCCATAAACTTGAATAAGGAGAATTGTGAGCTGCAGGAGTGTCAAAGTACTTGAGATGCAAGTACCCCCAATAGCAGCTGCTCTCCTCTCTGCTCTGGTTCATCCTGGAGCAGCAGCCAAAAAGGCTTGGGGTGCTGGGGAGGGGAGGCAGCCTGTCTAGAGATGCAAGGTAGCTCGATCCAGTTCCTGCCGCAAGTCAGCTGTTAAAACAACTTGCTCCTCAGTATCCGGGCTCCACTCAAGTATATATGCATGGACCGACTTCAGAGAGAACGCGCTACATGGAGAGTGGCTTCTTGGCGTGGAATTTAGCATAGTTGGATCATGCTCTGTCCGAAGCAGCAGCCCCAGGCCTTCACGCTATCGATCATAGAAATACTGGAAGCTGAGTGAAGGGGAGATCCATTGTTTCTGTGAACTCATACCTCAGCGTTTTTGAATATACTACCACTCCCGATAAGTATACGCTAACACCAACAACCCTTGTTTCGTTGACTCACCGAATACTGGCAGAACGAGAAAACCCGGAAACCAGATCGTATTCTAGCATTCAGAGAGTACAGCAGCGACCCCTGAAAACACCGACTTAGTTTATCAGGCGGTGCGCCTGGGCCATGCGCAGTAAAAGCCTCTCAGCAAAGCTTTCCCAACTGAAACTCTGATGATTTCTAGCGAGTTGCTATGTTATAGAGCCTCAGACGTAACAGGCAGTCGATGGTATATTCTGGATATATTCTGTTTCTGTTTATTTCAACATCGACGATCAGATGAAGCTGAAAGGAGTGGCATCCTGCAATGCTGTCTCAGCCTGTGCTATCAAAACCGCACTAAGGTGAAGCTCAATGCTAAACAGATGCAATTCCAATACTCAAACTGCTAAACTTCAACAGGCAGAGTTTTGCCGTCGGATGGAGGAGATCAACATACACCGCGAGCAACGAATGCTGGGGGAAAGCCCAAGGAAAAAACCCAGCTCTGCCCCGCCCATGCGTCTGCCCTGCAATGCACTCAAGTGCTGGAAAGCTAGCTAACTACCTAGCAGCTGGAGTTGGCTAGGAGGCACAAGCACGGCGTGCCAGCCGCTCCGACGCAACACAAGCGAGAAGAATAACGTTTAACCTCCTTTTCAATTGTGACATTTGTTGGCCCTTTCTGCTTTAGTGGAGGCACTGGACAGGCAAAGAAACCCGAAAGCGTGAGCAGCTATACGGCGAGTATCTATGGGGTGAGTAGTCAGCCTGCTCCCGCAGCGGCGCCTCCCCTCTACAGCTGAAGCAACAGTTTCCTGTGCCCCCACCCCTCTGTTGTTTCCTTCGTTTCAGACGGTCGCATGCAGCGCGTTTCCACCGCCAGCCCATACACCGCTTCTTGGCGTATCCAGGCACACACGCCATACAATGTATCCGTGTCTATACACCGCAGCGGCCGAACGGGGTGCGTGCATCCCGCCGTGAATCCACTGCTCAGGGGTTAACAAGTCTTCACACAAAAATATGGGGTGCAGGCGATGCAGCAGAAGGCTATCTAGCAGAGATATATCCTGCTAAGCATTTCTTCTCGGGGTTAAGTGCAGTGTGTTCTAGTGTAATGTCTAAAGGGGCTCTAGGGCGAGTGCGCTGCCTATACACCCCAATCTACGAACACTCTTTGAGCGCATGGAGCTATGATCAGCGCTCCCCAAGCAAGAGGAGTTCATGCAGGACTGTACAAGCACTAGCGAGGCTAATGGCCAATTGCCCCCGTCCTCACTGCAGCGACTACGTTGAGGCCTTCTCCGGCCACAGCCCCACACCCTGCCCCGCAGGCATGAGCGGCTAGCTCTGGCTAGCTATGGCTAGCTGTGGCTAGCTCTGGCCGCTCTGCACGGTTGAGCTCTCCGCTATGTCAGCAGTGTACAGACAGGCCTGCCCATATTTGAGGCAGACCAATGGCTCGCTGGCCCAGCCCCGAGGGGCCCCACACCCTGCAGCCCTCCGAGCATGCATGCATGCATGCATGCATGCCTAGCTGGCTGTCTGCATGCATGCAAGCCCCACGGTTGTGGGCGCAGTCTGCAACCTGCATGCACCGGGCGGAGGCAGTGCACTAGGCAGCTGAGCCTGACTCCCTTTAACTCGAGTTGGCGTCTCCTCTCATCCCAAGGTATCTTAACGAGCAGCTCGGGGGGGAGCAGCCAGTGTATATTACTTTTTGCTGTGTCTCTCCACCACACAGGCGGGGAGACAGCCAGCGGCCCTTGCGTGTGGTATATTGGGGCCTCAGAGGAGACATTCTTCTGTCTCTATCTCTGTCTCTATTTTTTTTTTTTTTTTTTTTTTTTTTTTTTTTTTTTTTTTNNNNCTGCTGCTGCTGCTGCTGCTTCGGCAGCAGCTACTGCTACAGCAGCAGCAGATGAAGGCTCCAGCTGCACCCACGACCCCTCCAGCCGCCACAGAGGATGAGCAGCTGCAGCCCTCATGCCCTGTATATACACCACAAAA